AAACCCCAGACCCTAAACCCTAAACCCCTAAACCCTAAAACCCCTAAACCCCAAAACCGTTAAACCCCAGACCCTAAACCCTAAACCCTAAACACCTAAACCCTAAAACCCCAAAACCGTTAAATCCCAGACCCTAAACCCCAAAACCGTTAAACCCCAGACCCTAAACCCTAAACCCCTAAACCCTAAACCCCTAAACCCTAAAACCCCTAAACCCCTAAAACGTTAAACCCCAGACCCTAAACCCTAAACCCCTAAACCCTAAAACCCCTAAACCCCAAAACCGTTAAAGCCCAGACCCTAAACCCTAAACCCCTAAACCCTAAAACCCCTAAACCCATAAACCGTTAAACCCCAGACCCTAAACCCTAAACCCCTAAACCCTAAAACCCGTAAACCCCTAAACCGTTAAACCTCAGACCCTAAACCCTAAACTTTAGGATTTAGGGCCTAGGATTTAGGGGTTTAGGACTTAGGGATTTAGGGTTTAGGATTTAGGGTTTAGGATGTAGGGTTTAGGATTTAGACTTTAGGGTTTAGGGCTAGAAGCCCACATAATTTTTCCCCTAGGATGTCTCGTAGGGTTTTAGGTCTAGGGGTATGAGTTTAGGTCTCCCATTTTTCAAGGGGTCTTGGCGCCCTGAGAAATCAGCAGGTAGCCGTAAGGGCTTCACCTAAAGAGCAGACTATAATCGCTTTTTTGCAACCTACACCCAGAGGTATGTCAATCTGCAGAGTGTGTGAGGGATGCACGATTTGCGTAATCCATCCTAAACTTTGAACAGTGCATATCCAACCTATATTGACACTGGTACTGGGCAGGTCAGGGACTTGGTGCATGTAACAGGTTTAGAGCTCTCAGTTCGCACCGCAGCCTCTGTCTGTCTCCAGCAAGAAGTAACAAGTTGCCAAACATGGCGCTCGCAGCCACCTCGCACGATGACGCAGCTTGGCTGATGGCCCGAAGTTTGTTCAAGGCAAGTCCTGTAATTCATTTCACGGCATCCGAGGACCCCCGCCCTAAGCATGACTCTTCCGATAGTAATGATTTGCAAGGCGGAACTTCGTCGCAAGCGTCTTATGTAATGTGAGCAGGTGACGTGAGGTGGTTCAAGACACGTAAAGACAAGTTTCTGATGCCTTACAGTACTTGGACCGCCAAAGTATCTATAACAACGGCCTTCTTGACTCTTGTTAAAGGTTGTGAGGAATTGTTTACCTACCCCAACCACCACACCCTAAACCATACCCCCCAAAACCTACACTTTCACGCCTAAACCTAAATCTAAACCCCAACCTTACTGGCTTACTGGGTCCAAGTAAACCCCTTCGCCCTGTAGGACCACAGGCTTGGTCCGAACCGGAACAGAATGGGGTGGTTTTCACTCCGGAGTATATAGGGACTAGGGTTTTGGGGTTTTCAGGGTTTAGAGTTAAGGGCTTAGGGTGAAGCATTTAGGATTCAGGGTTTAGGCTGAGGGCTTGAGATTTCTGGTTTGGGGTGTAGGGCTCGGGGTTTAGCACGCGATGCTGTGACATGATCATGCCCCACAAGTCATATGTTATCTCCCAAGCCACAACCATTCCTGGAATCCCAAAGTATAGAATGATGTTTTATTCAGTTCTTTGGGCCATTATTCCCTCTTTGGGGGTTCAAGTGTTCCCCCCACAATCTAAGCCCTAGACCCTAAAACTCCAAACTCTAAGCCCCAAAGAATCGATTCTTGGACACTTATAGGCAGTTATATAGAGGACTACTGTAGGGGTTATTGAGGGGGATGCTGGGAGTTAAGACGAGGTTCCAGATTCCAGATCTTCCTGTTTTTCATTGTTTCGCTAAGTGATGTTATTGGGGTTTAAGGGTTAGTGGCCTAGGGTTTAGGGGTTCGGGGAACCCTATGCTAGCCACCGCAATGAAACTTGAGTACAAGTGGTGTGTAAGTCTTATCTGGGATTACGTGGAATGCAGCTGATGATTTTAGCGCCAACGGCTGACGGTTTAGGGGGACACATCCTACACTTTGAGCCTGGACCCTGAAACCTACACTGTTCATCCCTAGGCTCCGCACCTTAATCTGTACCCCTTCAAGCCAAAATCCCAAACCCTAAAAACCTACACTAAGGTCCAGGTGCTTTCCGTGAAGTTAGCAAAGCCGAGGAAGCCGAAGGCCAATGGAGTTCTGCAATTCAGGTTGTGCGGGCTTCGTGCTTAGGGTTTAGGGCTTGGGCTTGACTTTGGTCTGGAAGTCAGGGATTTGGCATTGGGCTTGAGTCCGGAGGCAACAGGGCTCCGTTGTCAGGATTCAGGTGTCTGAAGTTGCCAGGGGATTAGACTCAGGACTTGAGGAGCTTGACTGATGACGGTCACTCTCTTTTTGTTGCCCTTAGCTCCGTTTGTTGGCTTTGCTTGTACTTGGGGTAGTGTCCTGCAACAACTGACTCTTCGACATTTTTTCCAAGCCGCTATACCTCTGTGGGCTTTCATTTTGGGAGTTGTTGCTTTGAGCTCAAGGCTTGGGCTTGGGTTTCGATGCTGGATTGGCCGAGATGTTTGATCAGTTTTGCTTTGAAGTCTTTCAGAGTTCATAGCGCTCAGGGCTTAGATTTTACTTGGACCAAAGCCCATGAAAAGAGCCATAAGAGCCACTGTTCTGCATACTGTTGGGATTCAGGAGGGCAAGCAAGCATAATGTGTTCAGATACGTGAGGGGAGAGAGTCGCGGGAATTAATCTAAATAGAAGTGGTGTTTATGCACCTTCTCACGGGGGGGATTGAGGTTGGGACACAAGTATAAACACACACACACACATATATATATATATGTACATACATATATACATATATGTGTGGTTACGTCTAGAAGGTACTCCTCCGTATGTATCACAGAGTATAGTATACCTCCAGTGAGACTTTGCCAGTCTCACTTCCATGCACCCAGCACCACTCGCATCAAAAGGGGATTGTGGTGTGCAGAGGATTATTCATGGGTTTACAAGGGATTGCAGGCGTCACTCTTAAGATTTCTTCTGGGCTTCCGTTACATGCAACGCGTCTCCCCGACCCCCCGAAAAAGGAGCATGTAATTAAGGCCCTAAACCCTAAACCCTAAAGAGGTCTCGGAGCAGGGGCTCCTTGTCTCCGCTTCTGCCAGACGGAGTAGCCTAGGCGGAAGGCGTGTGTAATGTCTGAGCGCAGGCTCTGACGACCTAAGCCTTGAAACCCAAATCCGAAGCCCTGAGCGGTTTAGGGTTTAGGGGCTTAGGATTTAGGGTTTCGGGTCTAGGGTTTAGGGTCTAGGGTTTTATTCTATCCCCTGGTTCTTCATCCTACACCCGAGCAAAGCTGAAAGTCTGAGTCTAGACGAGGGTGCAGGAGGTCGGCTTCAAGCGTGCGGTTTAGGGTTTAGGGGTTTAGGGTTTCGGGTCTAGGGGAAGTGCGCAATCTCTGAATCTCTCTGAGCAAGCCTGGAAAGGAGCTGAAGAAAGAGGTCAATGAGGTGGTAAGTGGAACAGCGAAGGTGAAGCAAGAAATCATGGAGAAGGAGGTGCCCCCGTTCCCCTTGTTACCCTATATAACTCTCAATATTCCCCCATGTAATATAGTAGCTTCCATGGTCTTTTCCATTATTACCTATATGACCCCAATATAACCCCTATATAATCACATTTTTCATTTCATTTTCCATTTTTCTTTTCCATTTAATTCTCCATTATTCGGGTGTATATACCCATGATATTACCGCAATCCCCTCCTCCACATGCAGCACGCCTTTTCCACCCATACGTAGCACTCAATAGGCCCAATGACATTTTCAAGTTTCACAAAGCGAGGTGCCTTATTTGAGGATGTGGGCGTGTTTTCTAGTGGTGGCGAAGAGGTTGCATTGTTGTGATAGGGATGCTGGGAATACCAATGCAGATGTGGTCGTGTTTTTTTCAGGGTCCACTTCTTCCGTGATGAAGCTGCGAGTGCGCTCCTACTTTTGTACAACTAGGATGGAGGGAAGCCCTGGCCAATGAGGTCAAGAAGGAAAGGGATGCAGAAGTCAAGCACGAGATCTGCAATGAGGCCACCAGGCAGGCAAGCAAGGAAGAACATGCATCCAGTGCAGACGGCCAGCACACAACGAGGGCAGTAAAGCCAGAGGTGCCTCCTTTGACGAAACACGTGAAGCAAGAGATGAGAGGGGAGGCCAACAGGAAGGCACAGGGCAGCATCAAAGACGAAGTGCAGAAGCACGAGCCGAATAAAGTGAAGCGCGAGGTCAAGTCAGAAGTACTTGAGCAGCCGAAGCAGCACGCGAAAAAAGAGGTCAAGGAGGAGGAGCCAGGAAAGGTGAAACAGGAGATGAAAAAGGAAGTGAAGCTGGAGGTGAAGACGGAGGCGAGACCGCCATGTCATGTGCTAGGTCGTGTTTTTGATGATGTGAGTCATGGATTGCTAGGTTGGAGGATACCCATGAGTAGTATTTTTTGGCGATACTATGGTACCCAATCTAGAGTAAGATTATATCCTCCTTTTGGGGTATAGTATTTTATATAAGGAATATTATCTTACTAGGTTTAACCACCAAGAAAACACTACTCACATGTTGGAGGACATGACTTAGACCTCGAACCCTCACCCCCCCCAAAAAAAACGTACGTTTGTGGAAGCGAGCTTGGGCAAGATACACAGCCTGGTTACTATATAACGAGTGACAGCATTTCAGATGTATTGCTTCCAAACTTCCACGTTACGTCCCGTGTTGTGGTTAGCCTTGGTAAAGGAGCACTCAAGCTCGCAAAGATGCTTCAAACCCTAAACCTCAAACCCTTCGGCGACCTGGCTAACATAATAATATTGGGGTAATATAGGGGTCACATTGGGATAATGGAAAACAAAAGGGAAACCATTATAATGGGTTATACTGAGTTTAGGGTGCGGGGATTGTTGGTGGGCTATCGTGACTGGTACAGCCGTGACAGCTTGTGATGTGTTTGTAGCCCAGAAACCAGGCTGTATCGCTTAATCATGAGTAGACGTGCTTAGCAGCCAATATGAATGGATAGCAGTAATAATAACAAGAAAATGGCGAGACGATTGCATTAATGCACAAATAAATCTACAAGATTAAGCATACCGAGCAATAGTACTATTAAAGGTATATACTATAACCTTACACCATAGTGTGCGATATGCCAACTCGCTTCAACCCTACACCCTAAGCCCTACATTATAACTCTAAACCCTAACTTGAGATATGCCAACTCTCTTCAAGTGGGGTCTGGGGCTGGTGTGGGATTCAGTTTGGGTTTAGGGTTTGGAGTTTAGGGTTTGGTGTTTGGGGTTTAGGGTTTAGGGTCTAAGGTTTAAGGTTTGGGGCTTGGGGTTTAAGGTCTAAGGCTTGGGGCTTGGGGTACCCAACATCCTCAAAACCCAAAGCTCGGTATAACATTGTTTATGAGCAAGTGCACGATTAGAAAGCAATTCGTGGATATCCTAAACCCTAATCCTGAAAACAAAAATACACAAGCCCACTAGCTTGGCATCCTCGAACCTTGCAGGAGTCCTTGCACGGCTCCAGCGCTACAGCAGCCCAGTCGCCTCTCAGAAGAAACATGATTGGGGGACCTCGGAAAAGGATCTTGGGGTTTAGGGTTTAGGGATTAGGGATTAGGGTTTAAGGTCTAGGGATTAGGGATTAGGGTTTAGGGTTGGGCTGAGAGTTTAGCATGGGGCCCTACGGGTGACTTGTGATTACTTTGGGGGTGGGGTCCTTGTCAAGGATGATGTAGGCTGCGCTTGAGAAGCCCCCATTTATTGGCTGATTTGTCACTACAAGTATCATTCGGATATACCCTCACTTCATCAAACTTGATACGGGGATTTCTCAAGAATCATCCTGCCAGATCCCAAGTAAGGACCGCATCATCCCTGATCAGCTCCATATACCCCTGGCCCCTATGGTTTGTAAGAAAACCCTAGGTCCCCCTTGCTTTGGGAGACTCCCGCGTGACAGAGACTTTTTTTTTCAGGAGGGTGTTTTGAGAATTGTCACAGTAGTTTGAGCTTAAAAGCCTAAACCGTAAACCCTAGCCCTGACCCTCAATGCCTTGCAGTATTCACCTCGAAGTACCGAAGCCCTTCCCCCTTAAGCTCACAACCCCTCAACCCCGTAGGCCTGACAATATCCACCAAAAAGCTAGGAAGCGCGGAGCCCTCAGGTCCAGTCATGCACCAGGCCCCAGTTGACCTGAACTTGAAGCAACTTAACACCCTAAACTCTAAACCGCCCAAAATCCTAAACTTCGGGTTACGCCTCCGCCCAGTAGTACTGTGGGTGGAGGAAATCTTGCACCACCCCGTGTACCCCCAACAGCTACAGCACGTTGGGGATCTTAAATGGTGCAAGCTTTCCTGTAACCACCGTAGTGGTGTTATAGGAGTACATAGAGAACCTTAAAAAAGTTACATACACCCTGTGGTCACTATCAGCGATGGGGGGGCCAACCTAACCAAAACTCTAAACCTGAAGTTGGGTTTAGGGGTTTAGGGTTTAGGGTTCAATCAAACCTTGTTGGAAGCCGAGGTTCTGCAGCAACTCCCTGATCCTTAGTAGGGAGAGAAGGAATGGACCCCTTAGTAATCCTCCACTAACTCTTGTAAAGTTAGGGGTTGGGGTTGAGGGTTTGGGCTGAAGTCTAGTTCCGGCAATCCATTCCGCCATTCCCTACCGAGAAGGAGGAAGACAGTGGTGTTGTTGTTGATGATGATGATGATGATGTTGTTGACGTTAGGGTCTATTTCAGCTTTACTTTTGATGCGAAAGACCTTGGCTTTCCGGTATTGCATGCTGGCGTGCTTGTTGACAGGGCCTACCAGGTCTTTAACCTGCGTCATGGACCCCTACATCTGTAGCAAGTTAGGGGAAATTCGCATCTGAGGCTTGAGGCTTAGAGTTCCAAACATTCTTCAGCCCACATGGACTAAGCCTTGTTGTTGAATAAGGACTGGAGTGAAGCGAGAGAACCCCGGAGGTGCGGACAATCGTGTGAAGCAGGAAGACTCCGAAGGCAGGTTCTATTGTAATCTGTGCCAATCTAGAAGAGAAGCAGATGCGGATGCGTTTTTGATTTTGTGCCAGTTCAGCTGAGGCCAAGGTCTGACGAAACGACGACGCATGAGCCAGAAGGGACCGGACTTGTCAGTTCCGTCCTTTGAGTCGCAGCTGCCAGTGTGGGCGGAGAAATGCCTAGCATTTCAGATCTCTGGCAAAACGTGGCTCCCAACCAAGCCTTGCTGCCCGGCAAGCTTGTTTGTCGGTCTCGGGAGGGCTCCGTGGCAAGAGAGCGGGGAAGTGCACCCAAAGCCGTGCACTCAGCGTCTAGGCAAAGCTCAGCTCCGTGAGTTCCGAGCCTTCTTCCGCGAGCAGCCGCAACATGTGCTCTTCAAGAGCATTGCTGGTCCGCACGAGAAGGCCTCCGGGCCCAAACCTCTGAGCTCAAAGCCCCGTCTCAGTAAGCCAGCTGATGGCTCGAGATGGGAGTGTTACAAGATGTGGCCCTGGATGCGTGACCTTCCCACAAGGCTGTGGATGGGCAATGGCTGGATCATGGAAGAGGATGGCATGCGTAAGCTGGAGCCCTCCGAGCCCGGGGGCGCCATGCCAGGCGTCCAGATCTTCGAGTCCGTAGGCACCGCCGTGGACGAGTCCCAGAAGGACGGCTCTGAGGTGCACGCAGCCGAGCCAGGCCAGGCCACCACCAGGAGCTTCAGGGGACTGGAGCGTCAGAGCGGCGTGCAAAACATTCATTGGAACAGACAGATGTCATGCTGGGTAGTTTGCAGGACCAAATCTGGCAAGCGACAGCGCATGCAATTCTTTATCCGCCCCTTCCTGGAGCAGGGCCTGGGGGAGGAGGAAGCGGTGGCTGCTGCGCTGCGCGAAGCCAAAGCCCACCGCGACGAGCTGGTGCGCAAGGGCGGCCTCAAGCCACCGGAGGCCTTGAACCCACGGCAGGGCAAGCGCTCCATGGTGAGGGGCGTGGGCTTTGACAAGGTTCATCAGAATTGGCAAGTCCGCTTGCTCGACCCCATCACCAAAAAGCTGGTCCGTGGTGTATGTGCCACCCAGGAGGAGGCCGAGTCCAAGGCCCGGGAGCTTGCCAAGGAGCTGGGCCTCAAGGAGGAGCTGATCCCGGTGAAGCATCTCTCGGAGCTGAAGCACTTCAAGCCGCTGGGCCCGGAGCAGGGAGTGAGGTGGCGGCTTGGCGGGCAGTACTGGCGCGCCAACTGCTTTGTCAATGGGAAGCGGCGAGAAATGAGGTTCCAGCCCAAGGACTTCTCGGAGAAGGAGGTGGAGAAGGCATGGAAGCAGGCAGTGGCATGGCGCAAGCAGCAAGAGAAGGAGAAGGATCAGGCTAAGAAGCGCTGAGGATGATCTTGAGAATGCTTTCATTCATGACGTAGGCTAGCAAAAGATCCGTCATATCTTTGCAGCCAGCAAAGGTGCTCCCAGCAGAAGACGCAAAGCCGGTTGATCTCACTCTCAGACCGTAACCTCTCAAAATGGGGCCCGAGTCTTAAACCTAAAAAACACAGTTCTCATGTCTCAAAGGTCAACCCCATTTTTTGAGACGACCCCACTCTCTCTCCAAGAAAAAATCGGATTGCCGCTTGGTTGCATCGGGTCATGGATACTTTAATTCCCGCATATGTAAATAGATTGGCCTTGGACAACGGCTGAACACAGGCATGTTATATTGTAGGGTGGTACATTTTAGTCCCTAAGCCCTATAAACCCTGAACCTTATTGTAGGGTGGTACATTTTAGGCTTCTACCTCGCGGCGAGATCAGTTACTGGCTTCCTGTCAACCCTCTAGACCTCAATCCGAAAGTCAACACCTCAAGAGCCCTAAGCCTGGAACTCCATACCTCGAATCCCAAACTCTGAATCCTAAACCCTAAATCCTAAACCCCAGACCCTAAACCCTAAACCCCTAAACCCTAAAACCCCTAAACTCCTAAACCGTTAAACCCCAGACCCTAAACCCTAAACCCCACCTGAAGAGGATGGTGCGCTGCTGTTCGGTCTGTGCACAGTGCATCTTCTGGCTCTGGCTGCTGGTAGTCGGCTGTGAAAGTCTTGCCTGGGTCCTTTTAAGTTTAGAGTAGGGTTTAGGGTTTAGGGTCTGGGGTTTGGGGTTTAGGGTTTAGATAGGGTTCAGGGATTCAGGTTCGGGGTCTAGGGTCTTGGGGTCCAAAGTTTAGGATTAAGAGAGGTTGGGTAACGTAGGGGTATACAGCTTGCGTAAGGGTATATGGGGATCAAATATGGAGGTTCCAGGGTTTAATTACTGGTGGTTAGTAGGGCATGAAGGAATGCAAGCGACCTTAGCGCCAAAGCCCTTGCTACTTTAAACCCTAAACCCTACACCCTCAACTTAGTACTGCTTACTAAATTCTTTAGGATTTTAGGAGTTTCGGAGGCTGGTGGGGAACCAGGTAGGCACTTCTACGGACTGAAATTTTGGATTCCTGTAATGAACCCGAAGCCCAACCCCCAACCCCCAAACCCTAAACCCTAAACTCCAAACCCTAAACCCTAAGCTGAACGATTTTAGGAATCCACACTCCTAACATAAATTTCGCAAGATAGTACAACTACACATGATACATTAAGTGAATGTACATTGTTCGGGATGTGGCAAGGGGTGGGTCGATGTTTTAGTATCATTATCCTCGGTTTTTTTTCGGGATTAGGGATCAGGGTTTTGTAGTTCAGGGTTTCCGGAATTTTTTTCTTTACTTTAGGTTTGTGGGTTTGGGGCCTATGGAGCTTTGGGATCCGGAATGGGGTTTGAGGGTGCAGTGAGGTATCTAGGGATAGGGTCGAAGGTCTAGGATTCGAAGAGTGTACTGTTTCTCAAGTTCTAAAACGGGCTGCCCGTCTCTCGTTCCTTAAAGCTCAAGCCCTGAAACCTTATGGCCTGCCCCCTACACCTAGGTGGGAGTCGTTACCTGCATCCTGCTCTTTGTCAAGCTTGACAAACGCCCCGGTCTGAAACTGGACAGGATCGAACTGTCAGAACAGTTAAGGGGTTTAGGGTTCAAGGTGCAGGGTTTGGTCTCAGCTGCAAGGTAACATAGAACCCAACAAAGAATCCCTTTAACCGATCAGAAGACTTTGAAAGGCCCCTGGGGAGTGTGGGATTGTTAGGGTTCTGGTTTTTGGATTCAGGAAATACGGGATTCCAATACCATCCCCTCCAAAGGTACACCCCCCTCCCAGGGTGTAAGGAGCTAAGAAGAATTATATAGGGCTTAACAAGGCCCGAAAGCCTAAACTCTAGCCAGAGCATCCTGCTCTGGGATGGGTGAATATAGACTCCCAAGTATCATACTCCTTGTAACGGGGACCCAAGCGTTCAGGGTTTAGGGTTTAGCGTCCAGGGTTTAGGGTCTAGGGTGGGAAGCGCTGCAATCACTTGCCAGAGTACAGTACAAGGGCAGCTCTTCTGGTTTGTCGTTGCCATCTGATTGTCGTACAGACATCTTTGGGTTGTCATATCTTCTTTGCGTGTCAGAAGTGCTGGCAGTCACAGGGATCAGGCGGGTCGGGTTCGCCATCCTCATTAATGTCAGAGTTTAGGGCCGCCATGTATTCTTTGCGTGTGAAAAGTGCCAACAGTCAAGGATGAGGGTGACCCCCATAAGCGGTCGCACTGCATCTAGGGAAACATAGCCGAACCACACGCTTAGGCAAAAAAACCATCCGCCACTTCTATCTTTAGCCTGAAGCTCTATACACCTTCCTCTCAACCCACAACCCAAAACCCAAAACCCTAAACGCTGAGCTGAGGAACCTCCTCCATGCATCTCGGACCACCTGGGAGGGCCATCCGAGGTCCCGGGAAGCGCTTTTCGAGCAGTTGCGGCAGAGCAGCTTGGTTCTTGTAGAGGGAGCGCGCGGTCTAGGTTTCAGGGTTAGGTAAGGAGTAGGGCTACGCAGGGAACCGCGCAAATCTGTAGAAGGGCGCTTGAAATCCTTCAAAAAGCTAGGTCTTAAGGGGCCTTTGACCCGGTGATTTGTAGACCTTGCATGCGGTGAGATAGGGACCCCCCTCTTTTACAGGGGTGATGTAGAGGCACATGCGGCTATGTCAGGACCTCTACAAAGGAATGCATATGTTGTTTTGGTTTTGACATGGGGGAATCAAGGGCTTACGGTATACACTTAGTGGTATTGCGATTAGGCTTTAGGTTTATTTAGGGTTCAGGATGCTTTGTTTACCCGGGCTGAGAAGACATTGGAGTAGATAGCAGGGAGAATTCGTTGCAGTATGTGTTTTTTTGGCTTGGTGTCCTCCTGACCCATCTGGCTTCCCAGATTTGTAATAAGGTGCTGAGTATTGGTAGCAGTTCGCTGGTAGGTTGTTGGGAGACCTAGGTGGGAAGACCTCCAACAACATCTGGGCGGTCGGTGACATGCACTTCTCCTACATTGCTGATGCTTATTCGTTCAAGTCCACAGGTTTGTCTTTGGTGTATGTTGATGTTTTGTTGGGTCCCAAACCTTCATACTGAATCCCAAACCCCTCAACCCTAAACCCTTAAGCCCTCATGCCTTAAACCCTAAACCCTGAATCCTAAACCCAAGGACGTCTTCCACTTCGACTACCAGGGTCAAGACCTGCTGTCCTACCACCCTGGGACATCCTCACCGGAGCGGTTCGGGGTGGAATTCATGCCTGGTTCCGGCAGCCGCGGGCACTCAGACCGGGTTTGGGATTAAGGGAGAGATTTACTTCCCTTGAATAGATTTTTTTGAGAAATTTTGATATAGTGGCTACGACTTGAACTTTAAGAAGGGCTGGTTTTGCAGGTTGATAGGGGTTAGTGCGTAACTTTTCGAAGGAACGGGCCCTTATCCCCGTTTGCACAGGAAGGCATTGCTATATTAGGTATCGGCTAGGCCTAGAGAGCTTGAATTTGGCGTGCGAGCATGCAAGATCTAAATAGCTCTTCGACCTAACCGTCCCAAAACCCAAAACCCAAAACCCAAAACCGATAGGCTCTCAGATTCAACCGAGGAATATGGACGAGAAAGCGTACGAACTTCTGGGGGTCCTCTTTCGGCCCCCGTCTTTGCTATCTCGGCTCATGAGTCGAGTGGTTGACTACGTCACTTCTTGGCAGGAACACCTCAACTTACCGGTGTTTACTTTGGATTACATAGGGACATCTAGGGTTGTATGGTTCTGAGAGTTAATTATCAGAGTGAGGGAGAACTGAATGGTGGAGTGGAAGTTGCAATATGACATGGACACTAGGATTGAAAAAGGTTTATAGGGTTTACTTATTAATGCCTGGGGGAATGTGTTACAATATCGGGGCTTCAATAATGATGGGGGAATGGACAAGAAAACGGACGCATGAGGGGGGAGTGGGGGAAGACATATAACGTAAACATTTTAAGGAGGCTTATAGGATTTTTGAAAGGATCAGGTAAGTAGAACTTTGACCTCAAGCCCAAAACTCTCTGTACAAACCCGGTTGAACCGAGTAGTATTTTTATTTGGGGATACTATGGTACCCAATATAGAGTAAGACGATAACCTCCTTTTGGTATAGTAGTCTGTACGTACAAAGAATGTAACCTTGTTTGGTTTAAGCACTCACAAAATGCTGCTTGACTGTAGCAGGGCAATGTAGACGCCTGGATAGTTGGGCATACGATGCCTTCTAAAATAAATGTATAAGTCCCGGTGATCGAAGCCCTGAACCCAGACCCTTAACCCCAGGGCGCTTATCCGAAGCCCTACGCATCTACCCCCTCCCCCACGTTTGCAAAGAGCAGCCGAGGTCATGCTATCTGCCAATCCGCACGTTCGACATTTCGAGGGCTCGGATCATGGCTACGGACTTTTGAGGAGAACTTCCCCACCCAATGGGCTTGGAGATTAGGATTCAGGATTTGGAGTTTGGTCTTTGAGGTTTTGAGCTTAGGGTTTGGGGTTTAGCGCTTAGCCCTCAATCCGAAACTCCAATGAACCCTCAACCCTCAGCCCCTAAACCCTAAACACATTAGCACCGTCAACCTTCGACTGCGTGTTGGCAGGACATCCTTTGCATAACTTCAAGGCAAGCACAGGTCGCATGCAGGTGGCCCTGAGGATTCAACGTTTGGGGTTTAGGGAGAAGGCTGAAACGTCATAATGAACCAAGCAAACCCTAAAGCTAGTTGGCCCTTGCCTTCAACCGTGTGAGGATAACCCCTCAGCAAGTTCAGGCTAGTTGGGTACGGTTTCCTGGAGGCATTTTAGCAGATGTTTTGGCTGGGCTTAAGCTTTGTTGTATAGTCTTCAGTTGTTTAAAGGCATTTGGATTATGGTTTTAGTATAAGTCCGTGTTTGCATCTAAACCCTCCAGCCTTATCTTTGACAAGTGCAGACGTTTAGGGTTCAGGGCTTGCCCGCGTAACCATTTTGTAATGGTGTTTTTGCGCATGTAAGGTTTGATATTCTGCATCTGGTGGACGGCTTTGCACGAGTCTCCGGCATGTGTGTCAAAGATGGAGACGACACATGGTCGTTTGACACGGCTTTGTCAGCCAATTCTTGCCCGACGAGGTATTGAAAAAGAAGTCCCATAGAACTCTGGGCCATGTTCATCCTGAACCCTGAACCCTCTAAAGCCTAAACCCTAAACCTTGAACCCTGAAGCCTGAGCCCTAAACCAAATCTCCAGCCAGGCCCTGACTGGATTTATCTCAGAGTTTTGGATGGGCCACGCATTTCGTGGTGTCAGGGTCTAGGCCTAAACTTTGGGAGTGGTATAGAGTTTGGATAATATAGGTATAATGGAAAAGAAAATGGAAACTACTGTTATGCGGTTATTCAGGGTTTAGGGTTGTATTGGGACCCTTTTCCTCGCTACCCTTCGTGGTCTAGCGCGGTAGGTGGTGAGGGTCCCAGGTTCTGTGGGGAAAAAATGTTAATGCCCGAAAGGAATGCCTCTTTGTACCCCCCAAGTGTCAGCAGCAGTGGCGAGGATCAGGTAATGTAGACCCATGATTCATAAACCCCTTCCTTTTGAGGGCCTTAATATTATAATCCCTATTAAGGGCAGGGGGTTCACTAATCAGGGGTCTACATTAGTGTTTTCTTGATCTTTCGGGGCTAGGATTTCTCCTTCAGAAACTCAGACAGCTCCAGGAATCATTTGGAAGAACAGATTTCGTTACACAGAAATGCGGACAAACCAATTCGCGCCATGGTTTAAACAGATCACCTGGGGGCTTCCCAAAATTAGGGTTATATTGGGGTTGTTTTGGGATAATGGAAAATAAAGTGGAAACTACTATTTGGGGTTTAGGTTCCGGGCACCCTCATCCCCTAAACCGTGAGCCGCGTCCCCTTAGCCTTGGACCCTTCATCACACGACACCCGACTCTCGTGTTTTGCCGTCGAAGCCTAAGCCCCAGGCCCTGAACGCTCCGGGATTTGGGGTCTAGGTTGTAGGTTGATGGGTGCAGGGTTTAGGGTTTA